GGACGTATCTACCTTTATGCATTTTAAGACCTTCAGCACCTCCTCTTCTGTAATGCGACTGTTTTCAAGACATCACTATTTATTTCCCCAAGTTCCCTAGCTTTGACATCTGTCTCCACATTAAAAACCCACGGGTGATATTTGTTTAGCATCTCACCCATCTCCAGTAGTTCCACACATAGACGGCCTTGTTGATCTTTGAGGTGCCCTATTCCCTCTTTGAGGGTTAATTGGGAATGGGCAACAAGTGCTAGCCTTGCCAGTGATGCCCAAATACAAAGAATGAAAGAAAAGTTGACGGGACAGGCATAATATTATTTCTGTTGAGCCGAAGGATATCTTTTGAAATGTGGGCTTAGCACCATTTAAGCACCATCTCCACTGCCCTTTAATCTCATCTTTAATACCTCTAAGTACTCAAAGCTTTCAGTAACTGCCATCTGGCTGCAAGATTCTGAACCAGCCGCACGTCAAATGATCTTTTTTTCACCATTTGTTGTCAATATTTCAACAGGAAGAGGCACAGACTGTACAGGGGAGACAATTCAGAATAGAAACAAAATTCTTTTCTTAAGGTGAGAGAGTTTACAGGGATGGAATTTATCCCAGTTACTTGCTACTGTTTTGCATGACTTGGTAACCAGGAGATGCTTGACAGGGTTAGATGCTGAAGAAGGGTCACCAGACCCAAAACGTTAACTCTGCTTTCTCTCCATGGATGCTGCCAAACGTGCTGAGTTTCTCCAGCAATTTAAGTTTTTGTTTTAGAGTTCCAGTATCCACAGTTCTTTGTGTTGTTTTAGATGCTGAGGGATGTTTCTTCCCTTGGGGGATTAGAACTAGGGATCAAAGTAGCGCCGACTGTGTGGCCAAATTTCGTCCTAACTCTACCTACAAGTTCGCTGACGACACCACCATTGTAGGCCAGATCTCAAACAATGACGAGACAGAATACAGGAAAGAGGTAGAGTGCTTGGTGGTGTGGTGTGAAGATAACTGTCTCTCCCTCAGTGTCAACAAAACAAAACAGCTGGTCATTGACTTCGGGAAGCAAGGTGGAGGGCACACCTCTGTCTGCATCAATGGTGCTGAGGTGGAGATGGTCGACAGTGTCAAGTTCCTGGGAGTGACGATTACCAACAATCTATCCTGGTCCACCCATGCTGATGCGACGGTCAAGAAAGCACAGTGATGTCTCTGCTTCCTCAGGAGGCTAAGGAAATTCCGCATAGAAAGCATCCTATCTGGATGCATCACAGCATGGTACGGCAACTGGTCTGCCCAGGATCGTAAGAAACTACAGAGAGTTATGAACACAGCCCAGTCCATCATGCAAGCCAACCTTCCAACTGTTGACTCCATCTATACTTCTCGCTACCTTGGAAAGGCAACCAACACAATCAAAGACCTCTCTCACCCCGGTTATAAACTCTTCCAACCTCTTCCGTCGGGCAGAAGATACAAAAGCTTAAACATTCGCACCAACAGATTCAAGAACAGATTCTTCCCCGCTGTTATTAGGCTTTTGAACAGACCTCTCAAATTTCAGATGTAATGTTGATCTCGCTGTTTGTGCACCTTCACTGCAGCCATAACATTGTATTCCTCGCTCTGTTCTATTACCCTAATGCACTTAGTATGGTAATGACCTGCCTGTACTACACGCAAAACAAAACTTTTTACTGTACCTAGGTACATGTGACAATAATAAATTAAATTTTAAAAAATGTTGTGAGCCAAGAATTCTCCCGTTTAAAAGAGTGACGAGGAAGAATTCATTCTGTGAAGGTTATTAGTGTTTAGAATTCTCTACCCCACAGAGCAGTGGAGGAAGAATTATTTGATTTATTCAAAACTGAGTTAAACTGATTTTTGATCAACAAGGGACAAGTCAGGGGTTATGGGGCCAGTCAGAAAAGTGGCTTTAAGGCCAAATCAGATCAGCCATGATCCTATTAAATGGCAGAGCGGGCTCACCTGATATCACCTGTGGTTGATTTGCCAAACACCTCAGCTTTGTGCCTCTGGTAACACTCTAGATTCACTCTTCGAATCACTCTTGTAAACCAAAACAGGTGATAGAAGTGGGAACCCTCAAGACATTTAAGAAGTATTAGATAAGCACTTGGAACAACATAGCATGCAAGGCTACTGGTCAAGAGTTGGAAAATGAGATCAGGATGAACATAAGTACTAGGAGCAGGAGTAGGCAATTCAGTCCCACAGGCCTGCTCCACCATTTACACTTTTCACTGCACTCATGTACTCGGGTACACGTGATAATAAAATCCAAATCTAATACAATCGTGGTGAATCTCATCTTGGACTCCACTCCACTTTCCTGCCCGCTTTCCATAAGCCTTTAACCCATTAGTAATTAAAAATCTGTCCAGTTCCTTCTTAAATTTTCTCAACATCCTTACATCTACTGTACTCTGGGGTAGTGAACTTTGTAGATTCACGACATTTTGAGAGAAGTAATTCATCCTTATCTCTCTTTTTAAATCTGCTACCCCATCAGCATAAAACTAAGACCTCACATTCCAGATTGTCCCACAAAGGGAAACATCCATTCTACATCTACATTGTCAATCCCCTTTTTAGTGTCTTATACAGCTCAGTTCGGCTGAACAATGTCTTTCAGTGCTGCAAAGACAATCTTGAAGAGGGAAAGACGTTGAGAAAGCAGAGTTAACATTGAGTCCAGTGACCCTTCTTCAGAAGGTAGGAGACAGAGGGTGGTGGTGGGGGGTTATTTTTCTGACTGGAGGCCTGTGACCAGCAGTGTGCTTCAAGGGTCGGTGCTGGGTCCACTGCTTTTTGTCATTTATGTAAATGATTTGGATGTGAATATAGGAGGGTTGGTTAGTAAGTTTGCAGATGCCACCAAAATTGATAGTGTAGTGGACGGCATACAATGGGACCTTGGTCAGATATGCCAACGTGTCGACAAGTGGCAGATAGAGTTTAATTTAGATAAGGGTGAGGTGTTGCATTTTGGTAAGGCAAATCAGGGCAGGACTTGTACACTTAAAACCCTGGGGCGTGTTGCCCAGCAAAGAGATCCTGGGGTGCAGGTTCATAGTTCCTTGATAATGGAGTTGCAGGTTGACCGGGTAATGAAGAAAGCATTTGGTACACTTGCCTTTATTAGTCAGTGCATTGAGTATAGAAGTTGGGAGGTCATGTTGTGGCTGTACAAGACATTGATTAGGCCACTTTCGAAATACTGTGCGCAGTTCTGATATCCCTGCTATAGGAAAGATGTTGTTAAACTTGAAAGGGTGCAGAAAAGATTTACAAGGATGTTGCTGAGATTGGAGGGTTTGAACTATAGGGAGCAGCTGAATCGGCCAGGAATAACAAGGTGTAGAGCTGAATGAACACAGCAGGCTAAGCAGCATCGGAGGAGCAGGAAAGCTGACGTTTCGGGCCTAGACCCTTCTTCAGAAATGGGGGAAGGGGAAGGGGATTCATAAATAAATAGGGAGAGAGGGGGAGGCGGATAGAAGATGGATAAAGGAGAAGATAGGTGGAGAGGAGACAGACAGGTCAAAGAGGTGGGGGTGCAACCGGTAAAGGTGAGTGTAGGTGTGGAGTTAGGGAGGCAGGGACAAGCTGGGCTGGTTTTAGGATGCGGTAGGAGGAGGGGAGATTTTGAAGCTTGTGAAATCCACACCGATACCATTGGGCTGCAGGATTCCCAAGCGAAATATGAGGTGCTATTCCTGCAACCTTTGGATGGCATCGTTCTGGTACTGCAGGAGGCCCAGGATGGACATGTTGTCTGAGGAATGGGAGGCCAGGGCTATATTCCCTGCAATGTGGGAGGCTGAGGAGTAATCTTATAGAGGTTTATAAAACCATGAGGGGCATGGATAGGGTGAATAGCCAAGGTCTTTTCCCCAGGGCAAGGGAGTTCAAAACTAGAGGGCATAGGTTTAAGGTGAAAGGGGAAAAGATTAAAAGGGACCTAAGGGGCAACGTTTTCATGCAGAGGGTCATGTGTGTATGGAATGAGCTGCCAGAGGAATGGAGGAGGCTGGTACAATTACAACATTTAAAAAAGCATCTTCATGGCTACATGAATAGGAAGGACTTAGAGTGAAATGGACTAGATGCTGGCAAACGGGACTAGAATAATTTAGGATATTTGGTCAGCATAGGCGAGTTGGACCGAAGGGTCTGTTTCCGTGTTATACATCTCTATGACTCTAACCAACAGTCCTGCTGAATTTCTCCAACAATTTCTGATTTTGTTCAGATCTTCAGCATCCACAGTTCTTTGTTTTACCTTATATGGCAAATTGAGAGGTGGAAATGTTCGGAAAAGGAGTTCAGGAATTAGGGCCCAGGCAACTGAGGGACACTGCCTCCAATGGGTGGAGTGATTAAAATGGGAGAGATGCAATTAGAGGAAGGTTTAAGGGGCTGGAAGAAACTAAAAGTGGCGGCATAAAAGGATTTGAAATTAACGTCGAGAATTTATAACTAATTCAATCCAAACCCTTAGCTCCATGTACCTGCAAGAATAAGTGCACTCCTACTATCTGCTTGTTGCTATGGGCGATCAGCTGACCCAGCTCTTTGATTGACAGCTGCCGTTGGGGCGCGGTTTGATGATGTCATCCACGCGGCGCCCACCACGCCTCCAAACCATTTGCCAACATAATAGGGGTGTAATATCCATATTTGGGCGCATTTTCACTAACAGATGCAGAAATTAAAAGCCTAATCCAGTCACAACATATCAATTCAATTCTTTTGCACTATTACATATACTTCTATTTTTCAGTAGAAGTTTAAGGCTTTGAAATTATATTCTTTCTTCTTTTCCCCACCTCCCTCTTTACTCGTAAGATGGTACGTCCGGTTGCTAGATACGCGTCTACCAAACCGTCTTTCTGATTGACGTGAAGAATTGGCCAATGGTGAGCGCGGATGGCCAAGGGTTTGACGAATCAGAGCCGGATAGGGGCGTGCCATGGTGTTAGGTTGCGCTGGGCGCTGGGCGCTGGGAGACGGAGAGAGAAAGCGGCCCGGATGGTGGAGGTTGCCTAAGGAAGAGGGAAGTCCAAGGTGGATAATCGGGGTAAACCGGGCCCCGGGTGTGTTGAAGGTGGGTAGATATGCGCGGTGATCCGGGGGTATTGCGCTCTGCGATCTTGCGTTGAAATCGGTTGGGCTAGTCGACTGCGGGTGGCGTCGCCGTTGCCTTCCACATTAACGCTTGGCGTCAGTGCTCAGTTGCTAGAGAAGAAGATGGTGGCACCGTGGTCATGTCACAAGACCAATAATCCAGAAGGGCCCGGGACAGTGCTTCGGCGAGGCATAGGAGTTCAAATCGCGACACAGTAGCTGGCGGAATTTAATTTCGGTTTAAGTAAGGCTGCTTCTGGCGCAGCGGTAATGTTCCTATCTCTGAACCAGGAGGACCGTGTTCATGTTTTACCTGCTCCAGAGTGCGGAGCAACATCCCGGAACAGGCTTGTTAGAAAATATCTGTACCACAAGACTGTTTAAGGTCTAATGGTGCAGTGGTAGTGTCCGTACATCTGAGCCAGGAGGCCTCGGTTAAATTCCCAACCGCTCCAGAGGTGTGTAATAATATCTCCGAATGGGTTGATTAGAAAATATCTTTAAGATGTTACTGAGATCTTGTGTGCAGTGGTAATCTCCTTAATTCTGGACCAGTAAGACCAGGTTCAAATGATGAGCTCTGCTGCCTCACAGTGCCTGGAACCTGAGTTCAATTTCAGCTTTGGGCAATTGTCTGTGTGGAGTTTGCACATTCTCCCTGTGTCTGTGTGGGTTTCCTCCCACTGTCCAAAAATGTGCATGCTAGGTAGATTAGTCATGCTAAATTGTCCATAGTGACCAAGGATATACAGTTTAGGTGGATTGGTCATGGAAAATGTAAGGTTATGGGGATAGGTTGGGGGTGTGGGTCAGGGTGCGGGTGGGAGTGTGAGGGTGTGGGTCTGGGTGGGATGCTGTTCGGAGGGTTGGTGTGGACTCTCAATGGGCCAAATGGCTTGCTTCCACACTAGGGATTCTGTGTTTCAATTAAGTCTCATCTGTTCCAGAGCCGAGCTATGCAATAACATTTCTGAAAAGGTTCATTAGAAAATATCTGAGAGGTTAGTTAAGGGCTCTTGTGACCCTTGTGAGCTATGATTAACAGTTTTCTTTCACACATTGAACAATATTTTTGTGTCTGTGTGTTTAAGAGGGTTTAAAGAGGAAATAGAGGTTTAGCTGGCATGTTTTCCCAAAATCTGAGTTGAAGTCCTAGATGTAGTAACTTGCACCAGATGTAGTAAGCCCAACCTGCCTCTGTTCCCTCCATCAAGCAATTAGGATATGGAGATCAAGAATCATCCTTAACAGAAACACAAAATGCTAAAAGTACTCCTCGAGTCTGATCACATCAATGGAGAGTGTAACCAGACTTAATGTTTTAGATCTGGGATCTCCCTTCTCTCTGCTGTGGTTTAGAACACTGAATACTGTACATTTGTGACTGTTCCATATGAAGTGTGATACTCTTAGACTGTGTAAGGACTTGGGGCATGATATAATGTAATCCTCCACCCCTAATCCTGATAGATTGGAATAAGTACCATATTGTGTAGTGAACTTGGGTACTGCGAGGGAGAGCTGGACCCATCCCACTAAAAAATATGTTTGTACAGTAGTTATACAGTAGTTGTACAGTTTTATCACATTTCTGATTTTTTTTCCATTTTCTATTTAAGGCTTAAAAGATACAACAGCTCATCAGTCCTGTTGAAGTTTACCGTGTACTGTTGCCTTGCCCTGAAGTAGATTTCCCCTTTGTCTGCCCACACCATGGAAGGGGGTTCTTCTGTGCAAGCTAATCATGTTTTCCGGGGCATTGAGTATATAGTCACAATGATGGTGACTGGAGACGTGTTAGAGGTGGAAGTCGAGGACCGATTGACATCTGAGCAGTGGCGAGGAGAATTCGAGGCTGTTTGTAAGTTCAGAGCTGCTCTTTGTTGTATGATCAGTAAAACGTTCGACCTACCTCTCCTAAAGTTATCCATGCCTCAGGTGAGGCTTTTTTAAAATTTTTGAGTGAAAGAGAGACATATAGCCAAGGTTTTTCATTTTATGCTTGTAAAGACTGTATAATTTTCTATTCTGCATTTCTGATTATGGACCAAGTGATAAAGGACTGTTTTAAAACCAGGGATTGTGGAAGAAGTTGTTACGCTGAGTTTCAGTAACTTGTCTTTAAAAGTGTCATGTTTGCACTGCTGTTTCATTCAAGTGATTAGGCACGGAAGATGTTTGTAGATGGCTTGGCATCTGGGAATGTATGCAGAGTGATATTTGACAGGCAAAAGTAGCTGATTGGTTTCTGTAATTATGAGCAGTTTTAAATGGTGAAGGTCTTCAGCTTGACAGCATGTGTCTGGTTCCTGGGTAGCTGAGCAGCTTAGCCTGGTAAATGATGCATGGAGAAGCCCTCAATCTCTTAGGTGTGGTGATCTTGCTTGCTCGCTAGCTCTACGCAGTAAAAATATTTGAAGTCTAAAGACAGTTATTTTAATTCCGCCATTTGCTGTAAGTCATAGGCTTGAACAAGTGACTAAGAGAAATTGCATTTAGGTACCAATTGCCCGTGCCTCCTGTGAAGAATTGAACCTGGAGAAAGGAGACTGAAAATCAGAAGTCCAGACAGGCCATAAGGATCATCTCAGTGAACCCTGTGGACTGCAATGATTGAACTGTGATTTCCAGTTTTTTCCCTCCACCCATAAAACCCATGTTTTGTTTTTTATTTGTCTGTCTGTATGCGTGTAGCATTTTTAAAGTGGGATTAGACTTTTAGTAATAATTTGATTTGATTTATTATTGTCACAAGTACCTGGGTACGGTGAAAAGTTTTTTGTTTTGTGTGCAGAACAGGCAGATCATGCCATACAGACATCATAGGGTAATTGAACAGACTGAGAAATACAAAGTTACAACTGCAAAGAAGGTGCACAAAAAGCAAAATCAACATTAGATTTGAAATTTGAGAGGTCCATTCCGAAGTCTGATAATAGTAGGGAAGAAGCTGTTCTTGAACCTGTTGGCATGTATGTTTAAACTTTTATATCTTCTGCCTGACGGAAGAGGTTAGTAGAGATTATACCTGGAGTGGGAGAGATCTTTGTTGTCTGCCTTCCTGAGATAGTGAAAAGTATAGATGGTATCAAATGATGGAAGGTTGGCTTGTGTGATGGACTGGGCTGTGTTCATAACACTCTTGTAGTTTCTTATAGTCCTGGGCAGAGCATTTGCGATAAACAGGAGTTCTTGGTGAGTAACAGAATCAAAAATTGGCCCACGAGACCCAAAACAACCTGCTGAGTCTTCCCAGCAATTTCTGATTTTTTTTTCTCCAAGTTCCACCATCTGCAGTGCTTTTTTATTTCCAAATAAATACCAGCAATCTGGTCAGTGTTTTCTGTGGACTTGATTCCAGCAGACAGGGAAACTGGGGACTTTGCTGTTTTGGTTAAATAATGAATGCTTGAGACGATCTTGGGAGGATCTGAGCTTGAGAATCAACACACTTCTCCAAGTTAATCATATTACACTGATCAGGACAAATGCAAAAATTCCAAATTTCAAACAGTCACAATAATTTATACTTTGAGAGATAACAGTGCTAATTACTTGGCAAGTGGATTCTTGGTAAGGCATTGCTACGGAGAAAGCGATGGGAACAACTGGGCTCCGCAGACTCCTGCGTAATTCAAAAAAAGGGAGTAGGATTGGATGTATTCCTTTTTTGTTTCCAGAAAATGGGTCTCTGGATGTGAATGTATGTTGCTTCTAGCCAGTGTAAATGAACCATATTATGGATTAAGCTGATTATCTTAAATTTGTTGTTAATGTAGCAATTAGTGCACTCAGGATTGTTTGGCAGACACTATCCAGTCAAGGAATTACATTTCTGATAGGTGTTTTGATTTGAGTTTTACAAGTGTGGGCTAGGTGATATCGCCTGCAGTCTCCCTGTTGCCGAAGGAACACATTGTTTTAAAAACTCCAGGTTGATAATGGCTAAATGCTGAGCGACAGCATTGTACTGAGCAGGGTTCGTGATCTTATCTGTGCTGAACCGTTTGATCTCTGTGTAGTGAGATAGCAGGATTGCTGCGAAGGGCTCTAAAAGTTTCTTGTTTGTAATTTGTATCCTGACATGCTGTGCTGTTAGGGAAGTGCATTTGTATGGTTGTGAGTTTCAGTTCTGTCATTTTGATATCATACAATCTAGAACACTGCCTAGACTCAGAATAGAATGATAGAATGGTTATGCATGAAGAAGGTCACTCACCTGTTGAGTTTGTGCAAGCTCTGTGAGATCAATTTAGTTAGTCACGCTCCCCTGCCCTTTTCTTCTATTATTATAAATATTTTCTCTTTCATATACTAGTTTATTTTGTTTTTGAGAGCCATAATTGAATCTGCCTCCACCATCCTGTCCAACTGTACGTGACTGAGCCTTAGCTGAATTTTTGCCAGGGGGGAATGTCTTTCCTTTTGTCACTTTTTGGTTTTATTTTTGCAATTGCTTTAATTCTCTGACGTCTGGTTTTCTACCACTTTGCTGATACGATTGGTTTCTCCTGGGCCCCTTTTGATTTTGTCCTTACAAAAATTTTCCCAAAAGTTCATTGGGTACCTGTAAAGGATTTTGTGAAAGGATTTGTGGGTTTCTGTATAATGATACTTTATGGCTGCAACTCATTCATGATGTTCTGTTGCTAAGCAATAGCATGAAAGCTGGTGGGAGGATAAACCTTGAATAGCAGAGGTTAGCTGTTAACCTTACTGTAGCTAAAATGAAATGAAAGATTCTGGAATCTGAAATAAAACAAAGTGTTGGAGTGCACCAAGTGCACTCCAATCTGTGGAGAGAAGAACAGAGCCAATGTTTTGAGTTCAATATGACTTCAGGAGTATACCCAAGTGTCTCTGTTTAACTTGAGTCTCTGCTTTGTTCCAGATATTGAAGACGTCACTCACAAAACTGGCAACTTCAAACAGTTCTCAATCTTTTGCAGTATGTTGGAGTCAGCTATCACAAAGGTATGATCTAGTTTGAGGGAGCAAATGTTTGTACCTAGTGTTTGTTCTTTATTTAGCCCAGCTCCAGTCAAAATTTTGAGCACTTCTGTCTGTAGATCTCTCAAGGTGTTAACACAGGTAGACTGGTTGGTGAAGAAGGCATATGAGGTACTTGCCTTCATTAGCCAGGGCATAGAATATAGGAGCAAGGAAGCCTTGTTACAACTTCTTAAAACGTTGGTTAGGCCACAGATGGAATACTGTGCATTTCTAGTCATCACACTGTCTGAAAGAAGTGATTGCACTGGAGAGGGTGCAGAGGAGATTCACCAGGATGTGCGTGGGAGGAGGAGAGACTGGATTGGCTGGATTTAATTTCTTTGGAGCAGAGGAAGCTGAGGGGAGATCTGATTGAAATGTAAAATAATTGAGAGGCATAGACAGAGTAGATCGTCATCATGGCAGATGTGTCTAAGATCAAAAGGCTTAAGTTTAAAGTGTGTAGTGAGTGGTTTAGAGGAGATCTAAGGAATTTTTTTTGACCAAGTAGATGGTAGAAATATAGAATGTGCTGCCCGAGAGGGTGATGGAGGTAGATACATTCAAGAAGCACCTGGATAAGCACTTAAAATGAGAGTAAATAGTCAGCTGTGGACCAAGTGCAGGTAAATAAGATTAGATTAGTTTAGTTTGGTGTTTGTTGGCCTGCATAGACCGGGTGGACCGGAGCCCTGTTTCTATGCTGTATGACTCTATTACCTCTCTCCCGTTACTGAACCAAAACTAAAGTTGAGAGGTCTCTCTAACATCTGCAGCTTCCAGTTCTCATTTCCTCTTTGTCTCCAAAGTGAAGTACTGTGGAAGCTTGGCTCCTGCTGCAATATTGGGGATATGTAAGCACACTCCTACGAGCAGCCAAGTGAAAATGGCCAGATAATCCACTTTTGGTGATGTTGATTTGAGGGATTAATATTGGTCCAGGACACTCGGGCGGAGTCTCCTGCTCTCCTTTGCTGTTGTCCCATAAGGTCTTCTCCAAGTCCCATCCAACTTGGAAGGCGATGGGCCCGTCGTTTCTGAAGGATGTCAGCTATGACTTTTGGTGCTCAGGTCCCTGATATGGGGACCTTTGACTTCGTGCACTAAGCCATGGCTGATACTTTGCCAACTCTGTTTCCTGTGCAGGGATTAGAGCCTGCAATTAAGACATTATCACAGTTTGTAATGATCTCTATAAAAGCAGTCATGTTTTAGTGATTCCTGATTTGGAAATCTGAAACCCAGGGATTTCAAAGACTCACAGAATCCCTGCAGTGTGGAAGCAGACCCTTTCAGCCCATCAAGTCCACACTGACCCTTCCGATGAGCATCCCATCCCACCCCACTACCCTATCTCTAACCCTGCATTTACCATAGCTAGCCTGCACATCCCTGGACACTATGGGGCAATTTAGCATGGCCAATCCACCCTAACCTGCACATCTTTGGACTGTGGGAGGAAACTGAAGCACCCAGAGGAAACCCACGCAGACACGGGGAGAATGTGCAAACTCCACAAAGACAGTTGTCTGAGGGTGGAATTGAACCCAGGCCCCTGGTGTTGTGAGGCAGCAGTGCTAACTAGTGTGCCACCCTAAAGAGAATTAAGAGGGGAAGGAGGGTTTTAGAGCCAGGAGACCCAGTCACAGAATAACAATTAGACCATTTATGAACTAGATGAGGAAATATTTCTTGACTGAAATGATGAATCTATGGAATTCTTTACCTCAAAGGACTGTGGAAAGTTCAGTCGTTATGGTCAAGACAAATCAATAGATTTCTAGATGTTGAGGGCTGTGGGAATGTAGAGTTGAGATAGAACATAAGAAATAAAAGCAGCAGCAGGAGTAGGCCATTTGGCCCCTCAACCCTGCCCTGCTATTCCACAAGATCGTGGCTGATCTGCCCCAGGCTTCAAATCCTCTTTCGTGCCATCTCAACAAAAGAGCAACTCCCTGATACTTCTAAACTCTTAACAACCTCCGGTTTGAATACTTTCAGTGATCTAGTCTCCACAACTCTTGAGGTAGACAAGTCCTGTCATTCATTACTCTCCAATGTCCCCAGGTTGCCCCACTAGTGAAAACATCTTCTCAATGTCCAGCCTGTCAAGACCCTCAGAAGATCGGCCGTGATCTTCTTGGATGGTGGAGCCGGCTCAAGGGGCTGAATGTCCACCACCTGCTCCTATTTGCTATCATGGGGTGTGGAGACATAGACATCCATCAGATCCGAGTTCTGAAGCCTCCCAAACCCTGAGAAGACTAGTCATTTCCAATACTGTGGAGGCTGGGGCAGGAACACTGACCACATCTTTTGATGCACTGGGTTTACTTATTTGATTTCAGAGCAGTGAATCAGTGACTCTCGACCTGCTGACCTACGCTGACCTGGAGTTATTGAGAAACCGGAAAGCTGGAGTTCCAATGAGGCACGCACCACCACCGAAATCTGGAGCCCTCAATGTCAAACGTTACCTCATCCTCATTTATTCAGTGGAGTTTGACAGGTATCAAATCCACATTTATTTTAAAAGAAATCAAACTGTAATTTTTATTTTTCTCCTTGCCAGAATGAGTAGAAATCTGACCTGTATATTATTTCTTAACACTTTTTAAGATGAGCCAGCAAGGCAAAGGGGTAGAGTTTCTGACACTGTGGTAATATCACTGGACTAGTATTCGAGTGCCAGGCTAATGCTGTGGGGTTATGGGTTCAAATCCCACCATGAGAGTTGGTGGAATGCAAGTTCAGTTGATGAATTAAAAGTAATGGTGATTGTGAAGGTATTATTGATTGTCGTAAAAACCTATTTCATTCGTGGTGTCCTTTACAGAAGAAAATCTGCCACCCATGTGTATTTCATATGTGACTCTGGCTCTCAGTGATGTGTTTGAGCCTTAACTGCCTTCTGAAATGGCCCTGGCAATTGGGAATTGGCAACAAGTGATGCCCACATCATATGAAAGAATTTTTTAAAAAAAAAAGCAGAAATGATCTTTTGGACCACGGTGGAAGACTACCTCAGATCATACTAATTCCAAATATCCAGTTCCACAACGCTCAAAACAGGACAAAAGTGGGTGTGTAAAATGCAGGAACAATAGTTGACAAGAAATGGCCCACTGTTCGGTCGAACCTCTCCCACACAACTGTGCATCACAATATGCAACTCTCCACCCCACCAAAAGACATGTGATTTTCCAAGAGAGGCCTAAAACCAGGCCATGAGAGAGGGTAAATCTTCATTGAATTTCTGTCTGTCACTCCTTTAGGTGAAGTTAACTAGCCAGGGAGATTACTCTGACCCGCACAGTGTCTTTGACGTAGCTCTTTCCTATATGAGGTGACCTCCAACCCCAGCCAGAAATGGGTCCAGTTCTCACTTGAAGTTTGGGGATTTTGATGGGATTCGAGCATATGGGAGATGTGTCTCTGATCCATGGATTGTGGTTGAGCATCAAACGAAAAGGAAGTTCTTGAATTGTGCGTCTGTGTTTCGAGAGACTCTTAATTGTCAAAATTCGGAACCAAAAAATGGCATTCTGCTTCCCTTACCAACCCTGAGAAAAGTAAACTTATTTAAGAAGTGGCGTAATTTTGTTTGGAAGCAGTTGAGAGAAGGCTGATTCCTGGGATGAAGGGGTAATCTCATGAGGAAACATCGAGCAGGTTGGGTTTATACTTTTTGGAGTTTGGAGAGATTATCTCATTGAAACAAAAGATTCTGAAGGGACTTGACAAAAGCATATGTTGAAAGGATGTTTCCCTTGCCTTGAACTTGTGAGGCACAGTATTAAAAAAGAGACGTCTCCCATTCAAGACCCTATTTTTTGCAGTGTCATTAGACACAGCAGTAGAACCTGAGTTATTGAAGACTGAAATAGACATACAGCAAACTTTGTTTTAACTGGCACCTTATGAACCAGCACTCTTGACAAACTGGCAAAAAATATAAAAAAAACAAAAGAACTAGAAATCAGAAACAAAACCAGAAATTGCTGGAAAATCTCAGCAAGTCTGGCAGCCTTTGTGGAGGGAAATCAGAGTTAATATTTTGGGTCAAATGACCCTTCCTCAGGACTTCATCTTAAAGTTATATACTTCAAATACTGTGAAATTTAATGTACTATTCTGACCAATTATTATAGTTTTTAAAATTTATTTACCTCAATATAAATATATTTGCGTTCAATCAATTGGCCACACAAAATATCAACAGTTGATTAATTTCGAGTCAATTTCTTCTCAAATACTGCGATCTACCATGATATCAGTTGAGGGTGTGAGTGAGAAGGCACTCTCCCAGTAAGTTTTTCATTTAAGGCAAAGTTGCATTATTATTTAAGTGATTTTTGCAGTAAATAAAATATAATAGTGATGTGTATACCCCATGCATTATATTTCTATTACTTTAGTGTGTGTTTTTACATTGATTATGTGGACCTCTTGATTATCCAAAATATTTGATCAACTGGCACACTCCTGGTCCCATTGGTGCTGGTTAATTAACAGTTTACCCTGTATTTTTGATTGACGAGGGGGAATCGGGTCTTCTGGGAGAACAGGCAAAAAAAAATGGGGTCAAGGCCACAATCCAGATCAGCCTACTCCTGTTTCAATTTCATATAATTGATCTTTCTTTTTGCTGCCTGCAGAATACACTACCCACTGCCACTACCGTACGCAGGAAAGCCAGATCCAGTTATTCTCCAGAAGATCATTCGAGGCCTCAAAGAGGAACTGGCCACAGTGAGATTGAAGCATGGCAAGGACTTCCGTGACACAGAGCTCAGACGCTTGAGAGCAGAGTGAGTCTCCTTCTTTCCCTCTCTTGTTTTCCACAACCACCACCTCCTCCTCGCCATGCCCCTGCCCCACTCTGTCCATTATCATTCCTGCTGAGCTCTCAGAAACGACACTATACAACTAACACTTCCGACTTTTACAGCAGAGTTGCTACTTGTGCGATGTAATGACAGCACAGGATTTGGCTGAAGTGCAGCCTCCTTTACAGGAGGCGTGCATCTCTTGACTGTATGTAGAAATTGCAACATGGGGACATTGCGCAACCAGTCTCTATTTGCATGCTGAGCCCATTCTCCTTTAATACCTCTGTCATCACCCACTTACCCAATATTATATTGAGTGTTGGCCCTGTTTCTGCCTCATTCACAGCCCCAACAATAACAAGAAAATCTCCTACCCCTTTTTATAAATCTTGTGTACCAAACCTTTTGTTGATGCTTAACCACCATTCCGATCATTCCACTTTTTCCTGTCATTTCATAATTTTAATCTGCATTGCTGTTAAAATGCATCGCCTTGAGTCTTTCATTTACACTTAATCCTATCTTTCCATGTTATAAATATTCATAGAATCCCTACAGGAAAAGGCCATTCAGCCCATTAAGTCTGCACTGACCCTCCAAAGAAAATCCCAACCAGACAATCCCTCCGCCCTATCCCCCAACCCTACATTTCCAATGGCTAATCCACCTAGCCTGCATTTCCCTGGACGCTACGGGGCAATTTAGCACAGCTGATCCACCTAACCTGCACATCTTTGGATTGTGGGAGGAAACCGGAGCACCTGACGGAAACCCATGCAGACACGGGGAGAATGTGCAAACTCCACACAGGCAGTTGCCTGAGGCTGGAATCGAACCCAGGTCCCTGGTGCTGTGAGGCACTAACCACTGAGCTGCCTTTTATTCATATTAACTCCTGGGAAATGCACGTCAACCAGCATTTGATGCCTGTCCCTAATTGTCCAGGCAGCATTTTACTGTTTTAGCGAAGATCTATAGCTTGGGTTGTGGTTGAAGTTGTTGGTTGGTTTGCCGAGCTAACTGGTTTTCGTGCAAATGTTTTGCCTCCCTTCTAGGTGACGTCTTCAGTGCTGTCTAGCCTCCATTGAAGCAGTGTTGTTCTGTTCTGTTCTGAATTTATATGGTCCAGTCTGTTATGGTGGAAGTTCTGTTTCCAGTTTTGCTCCATAGTGGTACGTAGGTGGGTTCTATTTCAACATGTTTGTGTATGGTACCAGTGGTTGAAAACCAGGCTTCTAGGATTTCTCGTGGTTGTTTTGCTTTGCTTATCCTAGTACTGTTACATCATCCCAGTTAAACTGATGTCCTTCTTTGTCAGAGTGAATAGAAATGAGGGAGAACTGGTCTTGCCGATTTGCTGTTCATGTGTTCGTGTGTCCTGGTGGCGAGTTTCCTGCCTGTCCTATGTATTGCTTTTCGCATTTGCTGCATGGTATTTTGCATATCACATTTGTCCTGCTCATTATGGATATGGGGTCTTTTGTCTTTGAGAGTAGCTGGCAAAGCGTGACTGTTGGTTTGTGTGCTAAGATAGGGTAGGCCACCCTCCCCTATATTAGAAACAGATCAGAATTGACTACAAGACTCCTATGACTTCTTGGAATAATGATAGCACACAAACCAACAGTCACACTTTGCCAGCTACTCTCAAAGACAAAAGACCCCATACCCATAATGAGCAGGACAAATGTGATATGCAGAAGACCATGCAGCAAGTGCAAGAAGCAATACATAGGACAGGCAGGAAACTCGCCACCAGGATACACGAACACTGACTCGCAGCAAAACGGCATGACCAACTTTCCCCCGTTTCTATTCACTCCGACAAAGAAGGACATCAGTTTAACTGGGATGATGTAACTGTACTAGGACAAGCATGAGATTTCCTGGAAGCCTGGTTCTCAACCACTGGTACCATAAACAAACATGTTGAAATAGACCCCACCTACATACCACTACGGAGCAAAACGGAAACAGAACCACCTTAACAGAACTGAACAGAACAACAGCGCTTCTTCGGAGGTTAGACAGCACTGAAGATGTCACCTAGAAGGGGGACAAAATGTTTGCAAGGAAACCAGTCAGTTCGGCGAACCAACCAACAACTCCTGTCCAGGCAGCAGTTAGGAACTCCGTTGCTGTGGGTCAGGAGTCATGTGTCGATCAGACTGGCAGATTTCCTTCCCTAAAGGGCATTAGTGAACCTGATTAGGTTTTTGTGACCATTGTTACATTGGCTTTTAATTCAAGGTTTTTATTGCATTTCACGGACTGCCTTGGTAGGATTTGAACCCACGTCCCCAGAACATCAACCTGGGCCTCTGGATTACTAGTCCAGTGACACGACACCATCTTCTTGTGCCATAGTGGTAGTGTAGTGGACGTTCACCCATCTAATTCTAGTTCTGTGAGGAGAGTGGACCTGTATTCTCTAGTTTAGAAGAAATATGTGGTGATCTCCTTGAAACATAACATTCTTACAGGACTTGAGATTCAGCAAAGATGTTTCCTCTGGCTGGGGTGGGGTCCTTAAGCTAGGGATCAGTTTCAGAATAAGGAGTAGGCCACGTGGCACTGAAAGAAGAAATTTCTTCTCTCAAGTATTGCATTTTGGTACAGTGAACAAGTGTAGGGTTTACAGAATTAATGGTAGGGCCTTGGGTAGTAGTGTAGTACAGAGGGAACTGGGGGGTGGTGCTGGTACGTAATTCTTTGAAGTTTGCGTCACATATAGACAGGGTGGTTAAAAAGGAGTTTAGCATGCTTATCCTCTTTGCTCAGTCCTTTGAGTGTAGGAATTGGGAATGTTGAAGTTGTGCAGGACATTGGTGAGGCCTCTTCTGGAGCACTGTGTCCAGTTCTGATCGCTTAGTTATAGAAAGGATATTATTTAAGCTGGAGAGGGCTTAGAAGAGATTTACCAGGATGTTGTCAGGTATGGAAGGTTTGAGTTATAAAGAAAGGCTGGACAGGCTGTGACTTTTCTCACCTGAGCATAGGAGATTGAGAGGTGACCTTATAGAAGTTTACAAAATAATGAGGGATATAGATAGAGTTAATTTTGGTTATTTTCCCCCTAGGAGGGGGGTTTTCAAGACTAGGGGACACGTTTTTAAGGAGAGAGATTTTAAAAAAGACACGAGGGGTGAATTTTTTACACAGAGGGTGGTTCGCATGTGGAATGAACTTCCCGAGTAAGTGGTGGATGTGGGTACAATTACAATGTTTAAAAGACATTTGGATAAGTACGTGAATAGGAAAGGGTTGGAGGGATATGGGCCAGGAGCAGGGAGGTGGGGCTAGTTTAATTTGGGATTATGGTCGGCATGGCCTGGTTGGACCTAAGGATCTGTTTCCATGCTGTATAGCTCAATTACTTTATAAGTAAATCTTTGGAATTCTCTGCCCTTGAATGGCTGTGGAGATGCAATCATTTTGCATTTTCAAGCTAGAGAGCAATACATTTCTACATGGTAGTAATAACATCAAAGGATGACATGGGAAAGTGGTGTTGCAGTAGATGCTTAGCCCTGATATAGAATGGTGGAACAAGCTTGAGGGGCTGAATGGCCTACTCCTGCATCTGTGTTACTTTGTTTCTACAGGTTGATAATAAACCTGATGTTAGGAACATGTCTTCCTTGGGTATCTAGTTCTGGGTGGGGAATTGAACCTGGAGCTTCTGGTTCAGAGGTGGGGGAAACATTACCTACTGTGCCATTAGATCTCTGTGGAACACTACAAGACCCTTCTAACTAGTCTGGAGAAAACTTCCTTAACTGCTACTCTGTGCTGCCTCCTGTCCGACCAATCTTTTAATTCGGTTTTCTATCCTCTCCCTAACCTGTTTAAGAGGTGCCATCTTTTGAATGAAGCATTAAACCAAAGTGAACGTATAAGATCCCACTGCATTATTATAAAAAGAGCAGTGGGATCTTCCAATATCCATCCGTCAAACAACATGAGGAGAACCCAGATTTATTGGTCATTTAACCCATTGCTATTTATGGGATCTTTTTGGGCTGCCTTCTGCTTTCTTGCAGCATAAGAGTGATCATTTTTATTTTAAATCATCGGCTCAGGATGGCCCAGAGGTTGTGGAAAGCGCCACAAAATGTCTGTGCAACCCCCTTTAGTGCCAGCTAGCATGTACCTTTTGGGCTGAATGGCCTGCTCCTGTGCCCTCTCCAGCGACCATTGGGGAAAAAATGCACCGTGGCAGAAAATAATGCAGTCCATCCTCTGTGTGCATGCCTCCCATCAGGTTCGAGAAGCTGCTGCAGGAGAAACAGGAGCTAGAAGTCATGATTCTGCAGCTGCAGGAGCAGATGAAACTGTCTGGCACTGCGTCTGTAGCCAAAGAGGTAAAAATACTCAAAAAGATCATTCAGAGCCTGGAGGAGGAGCTGATGAAGGAGAAAACAAAAAATCAGAGAGCAGCAAATAAACGGAACCAAGAATACCGGCAAGTCTTGGATGAGGTGAGGTTTGAGATGGTCAAGCCTTTTGTATTAAATCTTGATGTTACAGAGCCTTGTGTGTGGTAGTAATCTTTTCAGTTTTTTTTTGTTTCAGTCCTGACAACAAGACAAAAAGCTTCAATTTTGGGTCACAATCTAGCAGTGTTTCAGTACAGCACAATTACACGTTTTAGCAGTAAGTAAGCAAACTGGCAGCTGTCTAGAAATTGAGATTTACTACTTGCTAAATTTTTTTAGTTGATTGAAGAATCTTGGACTGGAGGCAAAAGTTTGCCACCATTACCCCTCTCCACTAAATGTCACTCCGTCACCTCTCTAAAACACTGGGTCAGCTTTGACACTGAGTTGCTGTGGCCCTTTCTGGGAACCACACATTAGAAAGGATGTGAAGGTCTTTGAGAGGGTGCAGAAAAGATTCATGAGTAATTCCAGAGATGAGGAACAGCAGTTACACGGATAGATTGGAGAAGGTGGGGCTGAACTTCTTGGAAAGGAGAAGATTGGGAGGGGATTTGTCTAAAATCATGAAGTGTCTGGACCGAGCAGATAGGGAGAAACAGTTCTTAATCCTGTGGTAGAAAGATAGAGAATCAGATGGCATCAGTTTATAGCGATTGACAAAAAAGCAATGGTGCCTTGAGGAAAATCATTTTCACACAGCAAGTGATTCGGATCTAGCATGTGTTGCCTGAGCATGTGGTAGAGACCAAATCAATCATCCCTTTCAAAAGGGAATTGGATCATTATCTGAGGAGAAATATTTTGCAGGGTTACAAGGAAAAGCGGGAGTGGCACTGGGTGAATTTTTGCAGAGAGCTGGCACAGACACCGTGGGCTGAATGGTCTCTTTCTGTGCTGTGTGACCATTGGAGGAGATTCACCTTTCATGATAACCTGACAAACCTATACAGGGGAGGTAGAAATACACAGCAGGATTTGCCTTGCGTGATGTTTACTACAATGAGAATGCAGCAAAATCTTGGTGCAACTGTTTCATGTCATTTGATCTACTTATTTAGTGAATAAAACTCCCCAAAGCCAAGCGATGGCCTCATCATTTGACGTTAAAATGATGACTCTACAGGTGACTCCTCAGAATTGTGCAGTCTTCTTTGTTTCTCCACAAATGCATAACAGGTTAGTACTGACACTCCAGCGATGGATTTGGCTGCTCAGGGGCCTTTGACTCGACCTGAACCTAGAGTCATAAAGTCATACAGCATAGAAAAGGATCCTTCAGTCCAACTCGTCTATGCTGACCAGATATCCTAAATTCATCTAGTCTCATTTGGCCCATATCTCTCTAAACCCTTCCTATTCATGTACCCATCCAGATGCCTTTTTAAATGTTGTAATTGAACCAGCCTCCACCTCCTCTGGCAGCTTATTCCATACACACACCACCCTCTGTGTGAAAACGTTCCCCCTCTTAGGTCCTTTTTAAATCTTTCCCCTCTCACCTTAAACCCATGCCCTCCAGTTTTGAACTCCCTTACTCTGGGGAAAAGACTTTGGCTATTCACCCTACCTTAGCCCCTCATGATTTTATAAACTTTTATAAGGTCGCCCCTCAGCTTCTGATGCTCCAGTGAGAATAGCCTCAGTCTATTTTAGCAAGGGCCATTCTTGCCAGCCACGTGACTGATGATGTTTGTCGTAGGGAACTTGGTGACTTCCCATCTTTCCCATCTTTCCCATTCCTTGAAAGATGTCTGCTGGTAAATCTTACTCCAGCAGGTTCATCCACAAGGAGTGCTGTGCTGGCAAGTGAGGAAGTGGTTAGCTCAGATCAGCTAGCCAATATTTAAACTCTGTTTACACATCCTCCAACTTAATTTTGCTTCTCTTGATTGCTTTCAATACCCCTGGTGGTGATTGTCTTTTAAAAGAAGTTGATATGGAATGTGGTTGACACTAGCAAGACCAACGTTTACTACCCATCCCTAATTGTCCTCAACAGAGATGATGCTCTGTCGCCTTGGACTGCTCCATTCTGTGCGGGGGTGTAGAAACATTCATGGCACCGTTCAGCTTTAGACACAGTTGTGAGTCAGAGGTGCTTCTAATACTTTTGTTTTTTTTGAAAAGTAAATTTTGTGAATACTTGTGAACTCTTTCACACCCCCCTCCCAATTTTGACTTCTGTGGTGGACATTTAGCAGGGTATAACTGTAAGTTGTCATGTAACGGTGTGTTTTGATGTTGGATGCAGACAGGTAATACCAAAGTAGACAGTACTGAATAAAACTAAGTAATACTACGCAAAACTAAAGATTTTTTAAAAGAAAAGACACTGATGGATAAGCAGGGCAGTACTGTTCTGAAAGCCTTGTTCATCTCTAGTGGTAGGGATTTGGTGCCCCTTCCTATTCAGTATTACATCTTGTCTGATCAGTGTGTTGAGTTCTGTGGTGTTATCATTCTACAGAAGTTAGAATTTAACAGTGCTGCTGCCAGCTCTTTGGTTAAACTGTCCATTTAGTTTCATACCTGTGTTCTTTCAAGTATTCATCCAGTTCTCATTTAATAATAACTTTCAAAAACAAAAGTGCTTAAACCATTCAGACAACGTGTTCCAGATCGCAGCAATTCGCTCCATAATTTTCTTTTCTCCCTCTGGTTCTTTTTGCTGATTGTCTTCAACCGCTGTACTTTTTATTACTGACCCTGATGCCACTACAATCCGTTTCTTCTATTTCACTCTCATCAAAATCCTTCCCGCTATATCAAATGTTCTCTTCACTTTCTCTGCTGGAAGGAGAACAACCCCAGCCTTCTCCAGTCCTCTTGTACAGTGGAATAATTGTTTCTTTTTTCTTTACTTTTTAAAAAATTTCAGCTGGAAGACGTAAAGGCTTCAGAACGGAAACTGAAGGTGCGAATGAAGAACCTGACAACTGAGCTGAATTTGTATAAAAGGGGGTGAGTTCTTGCCAGAATGTCCTCATACCTGCAGAATATCACTGCCTGCTCATTTGTGAGGCTGCACCAAATTAACTCAAACCTGCTGAGACATTTATTCTCCAAATTCAAGACTAAGGAGGGCCAAACCATCCAATGACCCTGTTGTGCTGTGGCAACTGGGTGAGGACAACCTGATGAATTAAAGCATATTACTAAGCAGAGGTTAAAAAACTAGCAAGTATTCCCCTAGTAGCTGCCTTTTATAATTAATGAGGAGGCTCCCTTATGCTTGGCTGTAATACTGAAATGAATGTGTAACTTGCAAGCAAAAGCACTGCTCAACCCTGTTCATGTTTGGAGTAGTGGGCAATGCCGCTAGACTGACAATTCAGAGGCCCATACTTTAACCCAAGTGGGCATAGGTTCAAATCCAGGAGGTTCAGGACTCTCCAGCTTCCTTGACTCTGAGGAAAGTCTCCAACTCTGGAGTTAATCTGAGATTTCAGTTAGATCAGACCTACTTATTTGAACAGTTACCCAAGAGATGTTCGACAGGTTTAGGTTTGTTTCTAACTCCTGGGCAACTCTGGAACTGACACCTGCCCCCCACAATCAGTCACATGGCCCTCCTCTCCCAGCTGGTTTGACAGGTTGGATTAAATACTCCATATGTGTTGTCAATTTCCTAATCTTAAAAATCGTTCTGTCTTGAATTTCAATGTCGCATTTGAAATAATATCTTGTTATTTACTTAATGTATAAACTATCCCAACTGGAATCTGATTTTAGACATCCACGCTCCCAATCCTCATGATGGAATTCTCCTGTAACCGCTCAGCCTTCTATCAGTAATTTCTACTGTGCAGTTCTACGTGTAGCCGCTCCTGTAAAACACCTTGGGATCTTTTTTTGTTAGATTTCAATCTTCCCATTGTACAGTTTAAAATATTGCCCCTTCTTTTCCCAGTTCTTCACAACTTGCCAATCTAATTTTCTTGCTTTTTTCTCACTTTTAGTCGCTTGACTCCAGTGGGACCCTCTCCACAAAACCGATCAAATTTAAATCTCAGCTCCGGCCGCCGTTCTCAGACGAGGACAGACTCAGCCGGCAGAGTTCGGGACGACAGTCATTTGGCCTCACGGGAAAGAAGCAAACAGTGGTCAGGGTCCCGAGAGAGGGAAAGATCCACATCCAGAGAGAGAAGTGGCCAATGGTCATCGTTTCGAGAGAGGGAACGGTCTTCCTCTAGAGAGAGCCAGCAAGGAAATCGTTGCCGTATCCCCAGACTGTCGCCTTCCCCAGCAGGTACAGCTTCTCACAAAAGAGAAAACAATTGTGACTTCACGTGAGGACTGTTCAATAGTGCAGCATGGACATGGGCCACTCGGTCTAGGACCAGAGGGCATAATCTTAGAGTAAAAGGGTGCACATTTCAGACAGATGTGGATGAATATTTTCTGGGTATAGTGGATTTGAAATTCTTTATTACAGAGACTGGGTCATTAAGCATATTCAAAGCTGAGGTAGACAGGATTTTCCATCAGTTACAGAATTGAGGGTTGTGGGGATAAGGCAGAAAAATGGAGTTGAAGATTATTGGCCATGGTCTGCTGAATGATTGATTGAGCAGATTCAATGGGCTGAATGGTCTACTTCTATGTTTTATGAGTCAAATAAGTCAGCGCTGGCTTTTCCAAAGAGCAATCCTGTCCATTTTGCTCCCCCTTTTCCTCCTTACTTTTGAATATTTGTTTAGGTTCTTCTGAAAATTACTATGGAATCAGTATCCAATGCAGCACATGCCATATCCTAATCATTAAAAAAAAATCTTTACCTCATGTTACTTCCGGTTCTTTTGCTCAGCCAGTCTCTTAAATCTGTTATCTTTGTCTGGCAATCCCTCTTCAGCCTTTGGAAACTGCTTCCCTTTATTTACTCAGTATAAACTCATGAATTCATGTGCCTTGAAGAAATATCCTTCTTGACTTTCTCTGCTCAAAAGAGAAATCTCCAGCTTCTCTAGTCTTTCCCCATAAATGTAACCCCTCATCCCTAACAGCACTCTGAATCTTTATTTACTTAGTTGGGCGTTGCATTAGCATCTTCTTTGTGCCGTCTTGGCAAGGCAGCCTTTGAGCTTATGATTGTTCACGTGGGTGTCTACAGTATCATTTTGGGCATCCTGTGTCTGTATCACCCATTTCCTGACACCAGGCATGTAGAGTCATACAGCACTGAAACAGCCCTTCAATCAAATCGGTCTATGCTGACTGTAATCCCAAACTAAACTAGTTCCACCTGCCTGGACTTGGCCCACATCCCTCTAAATATTTCTGATTCATGTACTTGTCCAAATGTGTTTTAAATGTTCTAATTGTACCAACATCACCATTTCTGTTCATTCCACACACAAACCACTGTGTGTGTGTGTGTGTGTGTGTGTGTGTGTGTGTGGGGTGGGGTGGAGGCTGCCCTTTGCGTCTTTTTAAATCTTTCTCCTCTCATCCTAAAAATATGCCCCCGTCTTGAAATCCCCCACCCTAGGGAAAAGACACCTGCCATTCACCTTATCTATACCCCTCATGATTTTATAAACTTCTATAAGGTCACCCCTCAATCTCCTATGCGCCAGTCAAAAAAGTCCAAGCCTATACAGTCTCTCTTAACTCAAACCCTCCATTCCTGGCAAAATCCTGGTAAATCTTTTCTGAACCCGCTCCAGCTTAATAACACCTTTCCTATAACAGGGTGACCAGAACTGGGCACAGTATTCCAGAAGAGTAAGATCAGAGCTGGGTGAGAAATCATGGGCCTTGGTACTGCTTCTGTTTCTGGTCCCCTTTTATACCCAATCCCACCTCCACCCTTAACATTTAGTGCCTTCTTAAAGCACTTTGTGTCCTTTAAAATATAATAGAACAGCACTCATTTATGCAGTTACTTAGTAACAATACCTCGTCTATTTGAGTTGACCAGTGGTGTATTTGGACTCTTTCAAAATCAGAATTTGAAGAATTCATCATTTTTCCGCAATCAACACTCCATTAGACATAAAGCCACAATACACAAGGAAAGCATAACTTTACCAGAAACCATGGTGTTTAAATTGGCACAAGCCGACAGGCAGAATAAGTTAGCAATAAAAAATTGTTTTTTTCCAAAATAACTGACACTTTGACACGAAAAAAACCATCGCCCTAAACCCATCTTGCACAGAGTAGTGAGTTCACAGCTAATGTATTTCTGTTGCATATGCAATGAGCTGGAACATTTTAATCTGCTAGTTGCCATCCTATTTGCTGCATCACAGATTTGAAGTAACAATTAACTGTTCATTACAATATCATTCACTATATTTGCCCCATTATAGTATCTTCTGAACTTTGCAGCCTTAAGCGAGAGATTCCACATTCCTTTTCAATGAATTTATTATCTGTGATTTTTTTTTTTTTTTTAATTTTTCTCCCTCCCAGTTAGTTGAGTATTTCTTTGTTCTCCATATTCAAACCGTTGTCTGTCTTTTTGCAGTCAGCTGTTTTACCCTACCCCCTGCCCCAATCTGTATCTGTATCTGTATCTGTCTTCTTTCCCTGCCCACTGCACTCATGAACCTTGTAGATTCTGTTATGGGGATGACCTTGCTTTGATTGATCACCATTTGGGAAAGAGGGCAATTCTGCCCCAGCCTAGGTCCCACTGAAAGCACATGCCTGGTCATTGGAACTACAGGCAACACTTGCCCATCCTAATTGCTGTTGGACTAAGTCACTTGCTAGGGCTATTTCAGAGGGCAGTTATGAGTCACCACATTGTTGTAGATCTGAATTCAGATGCCAGCCAGATCGGGTAAGGATGGCAGATCTCCTTCCCCAACATTAGTGAACCAGATGGGCTTTTATTTCAATTGCTAATTCTGTTTACTATTACTGAGACCAGCCTTCAACTCAGCTTTATTAATTAAAGTGAAGTTCTACTGTGGTGGGATTTGAACCTGTGTACCCAGTTAATCTGGGCCTCTAGTTTACACGTCCAGTGTAAGTACCACCATCACTGTCTCAATGTTGCCATGTGGTTTTAGAATTTAGATGGGGAATCAACTAAGCAACTAAACAACTCCAAAACCACTGCATTCGGATGCTTGATGCTGTTCCTGAACAGTGCTTAATTAACAGGTTGTAGTCAAACTGTTTTCGTTCTCATGAGCTTTATTCTCCTCAGGAACCAGACAACCCCGTTTTGATCCCACTGCATATGTACACAACAAGGAACAGAAGCAGAAGGAGACAGAGCAGAGAAAGTAAGTTATTAAAAGGCAAAATTTGAAAATAAAAATATTGGAGGCTCATTGAATAACATGAACTTAGTCTTTGCGTTGCAGCTTGCAGAGAGTCCGGGTGAGTGAAACCACCTTTTACTGCTGTAGTGATGTGTAAATATACATGCGTTCTGTGTTTTTGTCTCACTGCGCTTGTGTGAAGATGCCCAGTACCATCAGCATGACTCTGGAAAAAGATGGTCTGATGCAGTTGGTAGTGCATAGTGCCTGGGATTGTAATGGTTGGACTGTGTAGAAAGAAGTTGAGAGGAAGATAACAGCTTTCGAAATCTGGATGTGGCCAAGGATGCACTGAATTAGATGAATGGACAGAAAGACCGACAAGTGGGTTAAATCAAGAATGAAAGTTCAGGAATCAGAAGTAAAGTTTGAGAGAGAGAGAGAGAGGGGTATCCATGTATGGACATTGGGCATAAAAGCCTGGCAACTTTTGAAGCAGAAATTGAAGGTAAAAAGAGAAGGGGAAGAAGTCAACTTGGATGGCTGGATAACATTGAGACGTGCACTCGGGTGTGAAGAAAGCCCATTAAGAAACGAGGTGATGCTACTGGTATTGAATGAATGTATTTGGCAAACCTCCAGCCAGGTTAGTTCAGGCTCTGAGAGGAACCCAGGGAGGGACTCAACTTTAATGTGGATGTTCTTAGCATTTCTTAGTCTGTGGTTACCACTATTGCACAAATCTACCATCAAACTCTATCCCCTCTGCAATCCTGATGGGTTGCAGCAAGTTAAGGGTTAAATTTAATGACAAATTGGGAAAAATCAGCTTCATATTTTCTTGCAAAATGCTCGATTGCTGGCATCCCAAATACAGGGAAGTACTGGAGGCCAAGCACCATGTGTGGAGAGAGGAACAGTCAGTATTTGCAGGTTTTCCCAGAAGTGAGGTGTTGTTTGAAGGACAGACATTGTCTTGGCCAATGGTGAGAACTCCCCTTCTCTTCAAAATAGTTGTTGTGTCAGATTTTACATTGAACCGAGAGGGAAACTGAGGACATGGTTTCTCGTTTCATCAAAAAATACTGGTGCCTCTGACAATGCAGCACGGCCTAAATAGTGTACAACGATGGTCAGCATGGATCTCGTGCTGCAGTCACTGTTTATGGGCCTGAGTTTCATGGCTGAGCTGTGAGTGTGCTGAGGCTTATGCAGTAAGATACTTAAGCTGATCTTCATGCTTATTGTGACACACATGCTCATTCTGCCTCGCCCTCACCCCCCATCCCCCGCAGCTTGAGGAAGATCTACAGGGGCATGAACCTCCTGACCAGTGAGGAACGAGGAAGGCCGAAATCCAAGAACTGCTCCCGTGAAGGCAGCGCCAGCAAAGTACAAACCAGTAGTCACAGCCGTGGACGGAGCTCATCGGGTAAGGGTATGGGCTGATCTTGAAAAGCAGATAAAGTTGGTTCTCCCTTACAATGAGCCTGAACAGAATGTCAGGGGATTTTTCTAAAACCAATTTGACTAAATTCCAGGGGACTAAATTGACAAGAACATGTTAGAAATTCTGTTAACTTGTGTGAAAATGTTGGAAAGACTAAGAAATCTCTTCGCCTGCCAGCACCTCCCCCACCTCCCCACCCCGAATTCTCATCTTATGAAGTTTTGATGATGTTTTTAACAGGCTGCCTCAAATTGATCAATAAAAGTGAGAACTGGACAGAAACAGCATGTGGTTAATTACAGTAAAGGCTGGAAATCACTAGAATTTTCATCAGGGATACAAGTAGATCTTGGGTGTACCATGAGGATCCTTGTCTGAACCTCTTGGGACCATAAGATATAGGTGAATTGGAGAATTAGGCCATTCAGCCCACTGAGTCTCCTCCACCATTCAATCATGCCTGATCCCATTCTCCTGCCTTCTGCCTGTAACTCTTGATCCCCTTACTATTCACGAACCTATCGAATTCTGTCTTAAATACACTGACTTTGCAACAGAGGGCTGGGTAGGCCATGGGTTCCACAGATTCTCCACCCTCTAGCTGAAGAAATTCTGCCTCATTACAGTACAGTTCTAAAGGGTTGTCCCTTTGTTCTGAGGCTGTGCCTCAGGTCCTTGTCTCTCTCTTACTAGCAGAAACAACTTCTCCATCTCCACTCTATCCAGGTCCGTCAGTATTCTGTAAGTTTCAATCAGAGATTCCTCCCACCGCCACCAACACCCCAACCAAAAATCCTTTTAAACTCCATTGAATCCAGACGCAGAGTCCTCAATCCCCAGGATCGTTCTTGTAAACCCCTTCTGGCGGCCATCACCGCTAACCAAACACTTATCACCCTCACTCAATCTGACCAGAACCTTATACAGCCTCAGCAGTATGGCCCTGTTCTTGTGTTCTAGCCTAGCTTGTGGAGTTTGTCTGAGTCCAGTGCTTGCAGCATAAATTATTTGGATAATAAACTGATGACCAGTTTGTCAAAGTTGCTGATGGCCCTAAAGTAAACATAACAGCTGAGTCTGAGAATACAGATGACAACATGTGAGGAACGATGAGAGAATGTTAAGCTCTTTGACGGGAGCTATTAAAGGCACCTAATAGATGTAGGGGAAATATTAAATTGGTTGGAGGAAAACCACCCAAGATTATTACTACCAAACCAAAGGAGGGAGCAGTAATCTGCTAGGTCTTGTGTTGCCCTGCTATAGGAAGGATGTTATTAAACTGGAAGAGGGGCAAAAATAATTTACAAAGGTGTTATTGAGACTGGAGGGTTTGAGTTAGAAGGAGAAGTTGATAGGCTGGGATGTTTTTCCCTGGTGCGTAGAAGGCTGAGGTGTGATTAAAAATCATGAGAGGCATTGATAAGGTGAACAGCCAAGGCCTTTTCTCCAGGGTAGGGGAGTTCAAAACTAGGGGGGCAGAAGTTTAAGGTGAGAGGGGAAAGATTTAAAAGGGACCTAAGGCGCAACGTTTTCACACAGAGGGTGGTATGTGTATGGAATGAGCTGCCAGAGGAAGTGCTAGAGATTAGTGCAATTACAACATTTTAAAAGGCATCTGGACTGGAAAAGTTTAGATGAATATGGGCCAAACGCAGGCAAATGGAAATAGTTCAGTTTAGGAACCCTGGTTGGCATGGATGAGTAGGGCCGAAGAGTCTGTTTCTGCGCTGTATGACACTGTTGTCCCTTCTGTGCCTCTCCGGTTCAGGAGTAGGTTGTGGCTCCTGTGATGTTACTGATCTTGCTATATCTCCTCTTGTATAGCGGAATTTCACCGGAGCAGATTCTCCTCGGCAAGCTCACTCAGTGATTTTGAAGATAGCAGAGGACATGCCAAGTCCAGGTAGATATTTTGACTCTGGAGTAGCCAGTGTTGTCACTGGCTTTGTTTAATGAATTGATTTTCAAGTTCTGTATGTTGTTTGTGAGATCTCTAAATTGATTTGCTCCTACCACCAGCAATCAGTGTAAGATCGCTGTGCAGGGAACCTGCTGTCTCATTAGAAAGAGATGGTTGTGGATGAGTTTAACCCAAGGTCACCATGACTCGGGCGAAGTAAGAAGAACGAACCTTCGTGCTGACCTCAGCCAACATAGAAATCAAATCTGTACTTTTGTCATTGCTTTTCATCACAAACTCATGAGAAAGAGGAACAGGGATTGGCCATTTCACCACTCCACTCCAGCTTGCTTTGTCATTTAACAACATTATGGCAGATCTAACTGTGGCCTCAACTCCATTTTCCTGCCTGTCCTTTGTTGGTCTTCAGTTAGAGATTAGTCTGAGCTGAATTAGACAATATTCGTAAATCCAGCCTCCACAGCTCTCTTTGCTCTAGATGAGAATTCCATAAAGGGAAGGCAATGGCCTTGTGGTATTATCCCTACATCATTAATCCAAAGACCCAGGGAATGTGCTGGGCACCTGGGTTCAAATCTCGCCACAGCAGATGGTGGAATTTGAATTCAATAAAATTCTGGAATTAAGAATCTAATTATGACCGTGAATCCGTTGTTGATGGTCAGGAAAAGCCCATGTGGTTCACTACTGTCCTTTAGGGAAGGAAACTGCTGTCCTTACCTGGTCTGGCCTACATGTGACTACAGGTCCACGGCAATATGGTTGATTCTCAACTGCCTTCTGGGCAATTAGGGATAGGCACTAGATGCTGGCCTAGCCAGCGACGCCCTTGTCCTGTGAATGAATTTAAAAACAAAACTAACAACCCCCTGAGAGAAGAGGACTATTTTCATTTTATACAGGAGACTCCTTATTTTTAAAGTGTAGATATTTGCCATGAGAAATCATTCTCTCCATCTACCTGTTGAGTTCAGTAAGTTCAGCTCTCATCCAAATACCAACACAGCTTGATCTCTCATCTCTCACCAACCCCTGGCAGGACTGGTTTAGTGTTCCAGTCTGTGTTACCCTTCTGACAATGGTACAAGGTCTAAATAAAAACTCTGCACAGCTCATGTTGTGAGGATAAGACTTGCTCTTCAGATAGTGGCAGAGGCATCTCCTGTGTCTACCTGAGCAAGCATGCAGGGCCTCCGTTCGATCTCGCATCTGAAAGATGACGCTTCTAGTCATGTCAGAGATAGTAAGAACTGCCGATGCTGGAGTCCGAGATAACACTGTGTGGAGCTGGAGGAACACAGCAGGCCAGGCAGCATCAGAGGAGCAGGAAAGCTGACATTTCGGTTGGGACCCTTTTTCAGAAATGGGGGAGGGGGAAGGGAGCTCTGAAATAAATAGAGAGGAGGGGCCACCTCCTAAACCTAGCAACTTGGAAACAGGAGCATTCCAGTTACAAAGATGCACTGTACTGACTGACCAGCTTTTGATTTGTGGTCCCAGATATTGTTGAAACATTAACCACAATCAGAAGTCTGTAGTGAGACAGCAGTATCCCAGCGGTTGTCAGGCATCTCACTTTGTTACAAGTAACTTTTTCCTCTTCTTTCAACCTCAAGAAAACTTAAGCTGTGTTCTAAAATTCTATAAGACATTCTAAAACTTGCACATGTAAATTGAATCTGTATTTTAATAACAAAATTGCAGGACAAGAGCAGGAGAATAGAACTAACATGTTTGCTTGGTCAGAAAGTTCAGGCACAATAATTTAGTTAATGGCCCTTGTATTTGAGGTGCCTTGTGTCAGATTCCAGGTTTGTCTGTTCTGGACCTGAAATGTTAACTCTACTTTCTCTCCACAGATGCTGCCAGACCTGCTGAGTTTTTTTCAGCAATTTCTGTTTTTGGTCTAGGTTTGTATAGTTCACTTATCGGTCCTGATTTATTTGACCACGCAGTGTAATTTAAGTTGCACACTGCAGAGATCAGGATGTGGTGGATTTAATCACTTGCTCTTGTTGAGACTTTGCTAAAGCATGCAGCAGTCTCTAACCAGCTTTGGAGAATAATGTTCTTTTTATTTTTCCCCTCGCTCCCCATTCTAATAACAGATTGCAGAGAGGCAGAAAACCTAAACGGCCATTGGGTTTGGCATCCTGGAGCAGTCCGAACTTGGTGAGTAGATTCCTGATCAACGGAAAGCCAGAACCCCACAAGTCATATTCCCACTAACTTTTAGCACAATTTTGCTTTGCACCCTGTCCTCCAATCAATCCATCCTCTTCCAAGAATCATAGAATCCCTACAGTGTGCAAGCAGACCATTCAGCCCATCGGGTCCATGTCGACCCTCCAAAGAGCATCCCCTACCCCATCCAGGCATTTCCTACTCCAGACACCATGGGTAATTTAGCACAGCCAATCCACCTACGCTGCACATCTTTGGACTGTGGGAGGAAACCCACACAGACACGGGGAGAATGTACAAACTCCACATACAGTCGTCCGAGGGTGGAATCGAACCTGGTTCCCTGGTGCAGTGAAGCAGCAGTGCCAACTACTGAGCCACAATATGCTGCTGAAAACAGCTTTTATTGTCTAGGATAATATCTTTTCTAGAGGTTAAATTTCACAGCAGATAAGAGAGGTTTGCAGTTATATAGCACCTTTCACAATCTTAGGACGTTCCAATGTACCTGATCAGTTGTAAAGTTGGAAGTGCTGTCACGACTGTAATGTAAGGAACAAGGTTCACAGTAAACTCCCACAAGCAGTGAAGTGCTAATGACCATTTAACTTCCTTTTACAGTGGTTTAATTGAGGTATAGGGTGCTGTTTTTTTTTTGAGAGGCATTGTTATAAATTCGATCTCCTTCCCTGTGCCATTCCTTTCTTATCTTTACGTTTAGATTTAGACTTTATTGATACATGTACTGGTTAAGCTACTTTTGGAATACTGCATTCAGTTCTGGCCTCCCTGCTATAGGAAGGATGTTGTGAAACCTGAAAGGTTGCAGAAAAGATTTACAAGGACATTGCCAGGGTTGGATGGTTTGAGCTATAGGGAGAGGCTGAATAGACTGGAGCTATTTTCCCTGGAGCATCGGAGGTTGATAGAAGTTTATATAATCACGAGGGACAATGGATACGGTGAATAGCCATGGTCTTTTTCCCAGGGTAGGGGAGTCCAAAAGCAGAAGGCGTAGGTTTAAGTTGAGAGGGGAAAGATGTAAAAGGGACCTGAGAGGCAACTTTTTCATGCAGAGTGTGGTGCGTGTATGGAATGAATTGCCAAAGGAAGTGCGGAGGCTGGTACTATTACCACACTTTAAGGGCATTTAGATGGGTATATGAATAGGAAGGGTTTAGACAGACATAGGCCAAATGCTGGCAAACAAGACTAGGTTAATTTAGGATATTTGGTCAACGTGGACAAGTTGGACCAAAGGGTCTGTTTCATTGCTGTACTACTCTGGCTCTACTCCAGTAGAAGAGTACAGTGAAAAATTTTCAGTGTCGCCACACTGCTCCATCTTGGGCACAAGTACATTGGTACAAAAACTTAACAACAAGGTAGAAAGAAATAAACGCTGGCCCAGCCAGCGACACCCATGTCCCACAAATGAATGAAAGAAAAATTACAGTCCTTCTTAGCATCGAGTCAAACAAAAAAAGCTAAAAGTTTGACCATTGCAGTTTTTCTTAAATGCTTAGCCATGCTGGCACCACACTCGCTATAAGGGCTCGATCTCCATTTTGGCACACTTTTTCCTACACTAGCTCAATCTTCCCTGCTCTCGTCATCACTGCAGATGTTGGAGGTACCTCCATCCTGCGTTGGGCTCACTCCTGGGATCTCGGACCACCAAAGTCCTGATCCTAAAGTTTTAACGATTGGGAAATGAATGGGAGTGTGCTGCCTGAAGGTTGGTGGAAACTGATTCAATTTTAACGTTTTAAAGGGGAAGTGAATAAATGCAAGTATGTTCCCTCAAAGCTGGCTGTCTGTGAGCCCAAGTTATCTGAAATTGAACATTCATAGAACATCCCTTAGTAATTATTTTTTACTCAATTGTAACAAATTTAAGTGGACAGTTCAGTTTGCTGTGGGTGGCAGACAGCATGTAATCTGTCATTGCAGCAGTCATTTTCCTCGCTCTAGCTGCACAAAGTACCTGAGCCAGAATCCAAAGTCTGACATAGCCTTGGTCCCGAGATGGCAGATTTCGAGAGAGCACTGGTGCTTGAAAGGAAAGAATCTGCAGACTGGAAAGGAAAGGGAACTAGGGCTAATTGGATAGAACTGGAGAGAGA